GGCGGCGGCTTCCGCCTCTGCCGCCGCCGGTTCCGCCGTGAGTTGCTGCTGGTAATCGTTTCTCTCGGCAATTCACAAAAGTCTCTTCCTTTTCTATCAGCCAAGGTCCTCTCAATCCCCATTCAAAACCACCCCACCAAGAAAGCCCCCAACTTTCCACACCAACCCCAAAATGCAATGCCTAAACCGCCCTCAAACCCAAATTCTCCAAATGGGCACCCCCAAAAAATGCAAAAATAAAAAATAAAAAAAGGTAGCCCAGATGAACAAGAACAGAGGAAACAGAGGAAAAGGGTATAGTGGTTAGGTAAATACTAGCAGTAACAATAATAATAATGATGGGTACAGTATATGGGTAGAGTGGCGTTTTTTTCTTGTTAGTGTACTTTTTTTTTTTACACAGGTAGGTTGTGTGAGGACTGAGGAGTAATAAAGAAAAAAAAAAAGAAATTGGGATGGAAAATTGTGAGGGTGAAGCAGTGGTGGGTAAGGATTGTGATATAAAAGAGGTGGAAGAAGCGCTGGCAGGGTTAGTTGAGAGAGAAAAACAGTTGGTTTTTGGAAGCCAAATCAGAAAACCAGGGGCCATGCTTGCCATTCCGGTGGGCTGTTTCAACAGCGGATTTTTCTTTTATATCTTACTTTATAATAATACTATATACTATGCTTTAATACTCTTATTATCATATCAATATCTAACATGCTCCTTAGTATATACTCTTTTATCATTTCCTCCTTTACTCTACTATTTTGCTTTCTTTTTCTTTTCTTTTTTTTTTAATAAATAAATAATGCAAAGGATTTATATTTTTTTTATACAGATTTAGTTCCTCTAAAATAAATATAATAATAATTATTAATTATAAAATAAATGATAAATATTATAATTAACTTTAAATTTTATTATATATATATATATATATTTAATTTTATCATAATTCTTTATTGTTAATCTTTAATATATTAGGCTTTATCTTCTAAAGTGTACATTCACTTTATAGAAGTCAAATTTCTTTTATATAATTCAGAAATATCATCTACAAATTTTTTGAAAACATTTTAAATGAGACGGGTAGGACCATTAATTCTCCCTTAAAATAATTAAAATCTTTTATTCTATTATATTTTATTGATAGACTCGCGTTTTTCAAATAAGATTTTAAGTTTAAGAAATATTTTAATAGTAATAAAATATCAAAAATAGAAAGGTTTTAGTTTATCATTCAACAAATTATTATGGGATGAGTTTATTAATTCTATAAGTACTAACATAAAAAAAAAGAAGAAATATTTTGTATATATGTGTATTTTTTAAAAAATAAAAATAAATAAGAAATAAGCGGTTAATAATATTTAAAAAAATATATGTAAAGGTAATTTTTACAGAATATGGAGAGAAAGAAAAGGAATAATTTGAGAAACAATTATAAAAAGATTTTCCAAAAATATGTATACACTAAATGGGGGATTTTTTTATCAATAGGGCAGATATATGTTTTTACATTTACTATTCATAAAATTTAAGTCATTTTTTCTTTTCTCCATATAAGATCACATAAATTTTTCAGAGAAAAAACCTTATGTAAATCAAAATATAAATATTATAAAAAATAATTTAAAAAAATTCAAAAATTTAATAAATTTGATGTTAATGCACTTATTAAATAATTATAATTCACCATTTTGTGTATTTTAAATGATAATATAAGACTATTTTATACCATGTATAACGTATATTTTTAGTTTAGTTATATAACCAAAATTTGATCTCAAAAATCCAAGCATTATTTTAATGCCTTTGATGCCTAATCATCTCATGCCATTTTAATTTTCACGTGGCTCTGAATATAAATTGGTCAAGCCAAATATTTATATTTTGAATTTTTCTCTTGATCTCAAGTGGGTCACCTCAAGGATTAGTAATTGAATTCCTTGGCACTAATTAACCCTACTTTTCGTTCTTATTATATTAATTAATCAGCATTCATGTTAGGCTTCGTAGATCGTACCATGGGTTCAGATATGCTTGTCTAAACTCTGAAACATTGGAGTTTAGATAACTCATATGCTTTGTAGCACAGAATAATTTATGCCCTAATTAAGCCAATAAATAAATATGTTAGTTAGTGCTCATATATGTAGTATCAAGCTGAGAATTGGTCTCTATTCTTTTTAGCACGATACACCTGAGATTCAAACACATAGTTAAATACTTTAAGAGGAATTAATATGATGATAATGTCTTCTTTTTATTTTTATTTTCTACAGTATCCTACTAAAGTTTCACTTTAAATTAATTTAGATAATAAAAGATTTTTTCACTATTCACTAAAAAATATGATATCTTTAATAATTTTGATTGGAATCTTGATCATATTTTTATTTTCCATTGTTTGATATAAATGTATAATAATTAAGAATATTATTTTATGTTTTGAATTATAAGAAAACCGTTATGTCGATTTAAACTTTTCTCTCTGAAATTGTTCTGCTTTTTTTTTTATTAACTATTTTCTTACACGCTGGTATTAAATAATAGCATTAATAATTAATATGTTGTTAACTTAATTAAAATGGAGGGAAAAAAAATTCTAAATCACCAAAACTATATTTCATTGTTGTTCATCAAAAATAATATTTTCATTGTTTGAAATTTAGTCTGTCGTAATTGGTGTAAAAAAAAATAAGTCTTTCGTTATATTTTTTATTTTTTAGTGACGTAATATAATATTTAGAAATTTGAAAAAGAAAAGACCTTCCATGCATATATTTCCTTGAACTTATCTAAACTTGCACATCAAATTTTTATAAGGATTACGTGTACATCCTTGAAGGAGTTAATACACAATGTTTAAATTATTCGTTTATCTATACATAAATTGTTTAATTCGTTCGATGAATTGTTCTATTCGAAGTTTCAAAAAAAATATACACAAAATAAAATCTATCATTAACTCCCAATTAAAGGGAGTTTCTACTTTCTAGTAATTAATTTTATTCCTCATTCTTTTTATCCAATGTGAATAAATCGCCTTGAAACTAGAATCTAAATACAATTTATTGACAATGTAATTTTTTTTAATATTTTTAATTAATTATGAATTGTAGTATTACTAAAAATCGTTGATTTTTTTATTATTGTTAATTTGTTATTATGAGATGTAAAAACTTACTTACAAACACTAAAATTGTATTAAAATTAAACTCTTGAAGTTATAATTGCACTAATATTTAAATGAAACTGATCTTCTTTTATGTGCAAATAATAATATATAAACTAATAAGAATTTATTATTATCTTTGTCCCTAATTATAATTATAAAATTATTTCAATTAAATTACATGATTTAAAAAAATTAGTTAAAATAATTGAGAGTATAAGTTTTTCAAAAATTTAAAAGATAAAACTTATATAAAATCTTTTAGTTACACTTGTTCTCTAATTAGAATTAGAATTTTATATTAGTAATGTGCACATATATTTAATATATATCTCATTAATATACATTTATACATATTAGTAATGTGCACATATCTTGAAGTGGAGTGTTGAGTCTTTTCTAACAAATCTTTTAGTTGATATTCTATGAGGGCAAGGTCGAGCCATACTGGTTTAAAAGTGACCAATCGAGTAAGTTACAAGGTCAAGGGCCAAAATCCTTAACTAAGTATTGGAAGGGCACAATATTTCAAGGGTAGTTTGTGAGCTAATTCCATATAGGCTTAGTTATGCATGTTAAGGTCGTGGTAAGCTCACACCTAATTTGTTTTATCTATAATAGGAATACTTGACTTTCCTATTCTAAGTGGCAAAATCCAAGAAATTATCTTATGTTATGGATTGATATCCAAATTTGCAATTGATATAGCAAACTAAAAAGATTACGTTGTTAAGTTGGTTTGGTAGGATCAAGTCACTTAGACTACTAACTTGTGTTATAAGAGATCTCTAAGTTAAAATTTGTAGCGACACATCATGTTGCTATGTTGATATGCTACTAAGTTGATTTGTGTTGAAAGTTGATATTGTTGCTATATTATGATATGTGTTGTTTTGTTATGAGGATGTTTAGTTGATGAGTTGATATTGAATTGTGTTGTAACTTGAAAAGATACCTTATTACAAATTTGCACACATATGCTAATATGTTGATAGTTATTGTTAAGTTGAGCTTAAGATGTTAATTAATTGTATTGTTGAAGTTGTTATATAGTTAATTTATCACTTCTATGCTGTGTTGATTCTTTTGAATTCAAGTTTACCCTTACAATTTTCTAGTTGTTGGATTACGATGATCATATTCGTTGTGAGATTAAGGTAAGAATAGGTTGGAGGATGAACAAGTTTTTTAGGGCTATGTTGGAGATGGTGGTGTTGTTTAGGCTACTCCGATGTAGCTTGTAGCTAGTAATTGCTTGACTAACAACCTAAGTTTATATTTTTAGTCTAGATTACTATATATATATATAGTTTTTAGTTATAATTTTGTTGAGGGATTTATACATATATCTATATATTATTACATGTATATCTAGAGACAACGTGCAAGATAAACCCTAGGTAATTAGAATTATGTTTTTTACTAGTTAGATAGTTGAGTTGTAAAATGTAAGGATCTACTTGACTGATACAAAACTAGTAGATCCTTATTTATACTATATAGTATATATCTATATCTATACTATATTTAAAAGAGATAAGGGTTTGTATAACTTCTTTTTAGTCTCCAAATTTTTGGACTATTATGTCCTTGTCAATTTTATATGGACCAAAACCAATTTTTGCTCATTTTATAGTGATTAAAAATAATGTTTACAAGTTTTAGAAGAGTGAGAAATAAAGAAAAAATTCTATAAATACCAAAATTAAAACTCACTCATTTTACAGTAGTTATAAAAATATTTTTTAATCTAAATTATAATTATATAATAATCATTTGGCATTTACAATGTAGAGGTTAAAATACTATAGTATTCTTTAAATTATAAATATTTTAATATTGATCATTGATTTTTTAAAATAATTTTAATAGTATATAATAATATTTTTAAAATATTAAATAATACTCATATATATATAATAATAAATATTAAATATTTTGATACAATATATTTAAATTTTGAAATAATATTAAATATTTTAAAATAATATATTTACTAGTATTTTAACTTGTACTATGTACATGAATGTTTATTATATAATTAAATTTTACTATATATTAAATAAATAAATATTATGTTTGAATATATAATTATTATTTAAAATTTTATAAATATTAAATAGATAATTTAAAAGCTATAAATAATATTTTAGATTTATGATAAATAATTTATATTATAATATAAAAATTATTTTATTTATTCTTAATTTATTTAAAATGTTAATATTGTATTTATAAATAATTATGATAAATAATAATTCAATTAGATAACAAGTTAAAAAAATTCTTACAAATTTTTCGTTGAGGAAAAACTCTTAAAAATACTCTCAAGATATATAGAGATTTATGCTTAATATTAAGGATTGATCTTTTATATTTATATAATAATTTAAAGTATTAATATTTAATAATATATTATATATAACTTCGTGTGTTTCATCAACACTGTCTATGACACACTAAATTCAAGTATATTATAAATAATTATTTTATATTATAATTATAATCATAATATTAATTTAATATCTTAATATAATGTATTATTAAATATGTGTTTTCACATACTCATCAAAATTATACTTTCTCTTTCCTAAGTTCCCCGTTTAGGGGCTTATTTTGAATAAGAACCACTCCTTCGCACATGCCTTCTCTATCTCCATCTTCTCTTCTACCAAACTCTTTTTCACAAATCGGTAACCTCCATTCTCATTCTTCTTCCTTTTCCTTTTTCAATTAATTCATTTATCGCATTTCACTAGAGTATTGTGTTTCTCCTCATCGTAAACACCTATGAGTGTTTCATATGTTTCATTTCCTTTTCATTCATCACGATTTCATTTTTCTATATTTTAATTTTGTTTTTTATGTGCAGCTTGTCTTTGCAAATTATACTTTACTATTTAACACAATCAAACTATGGATGAAATTCTTTTTCTTTTTCTTTCGTTCTTTCAGTAGATAACTGAAAACAAAAATAGAAATATATTCTCTAGGTTTCATTTTGAAATTGCATGCATGTGTGTCTTTTTCTTCTTTTTTTTTTCTTACTCATCCATGTCAACACTACTAGAATTTCTCTAATTACATGCGACTGTTCTTGTAAATTTTTATGAAAAATTCGCAAGAAACGTTATTCCTACAAATTTTTCTGCGAAATTTTATCTGTAGGTAATACCTTCGTGGATAATATGTTTTTGCAAATTTTAAAATTTGCAAGAAATTTTCCTGCGAAAAAAATTCGTAAGAAAGTTTCCTGCAAAAAAAATTCGTAGGAAAGTTTCCTGAATTTGGATCCTCTCCTGCAATATTCTCTTTCCAGCCTTTCTCCAACAACATTAATAACCATTGAATATATCTAATGACTCAAATTTAATTTTATAATTAATGTTGTAACGACCTGATTAGTCACTACATACAACACAACACACTAGAATACCACAGGAAAAGAACAAGTATATACATATAGTGTCTAGAATATATATATATACAAGGTCCAATCTGGCTAGAGTCAAAGTGTACAAAATACAACCAGTAATGTTACACTAAGTAGCTAAATACAAAAACAACAAAAAAACAAACGCCATCTGCCAGCTACAGACTCTCCTCAGCACACCATCCTAACTCTGCTCTGCTCCCATACATAGTATGATCATCGCAGTCCAACACCATGGAAACAATATATATATATATATATATATATATATATGAATAGTAAAGAGCTACAACTATCAGCACATCAATCATCTTAACAACATCAGCTTAATATATATATATAACAACACACATCTCACATCATTCAGCAATAACAACAGTAAACAGCAGTACAAAGCGGTAAACAGCAGTAAACACACCATGCATCGTCACGCATATAAGTTAGTATTGGTCGCTTGTAAGCGGTATAGCTCGACCTGGCCCCTATACCGTGGTTGCTTTATACATGTGTGCCTCGACCTTGCCCACACACGAGACCACTAAGAACTTAGAGGAGAACAGCAAGTTACCACTCCAAGGGTCAGCTTTCCAGGGAGGATTTTCAACAAATTGGGCTCTAAGAGCACCACAGCCACTCAATCCACACAATGGGATGAGGAATTTCGAAAACATCTCCTCTAGTCTTAGTGATCAACAGCTCAGCCTTACGGCCTACAACAGCTCCTAACAGCACGGAGCACAGCACTGTAAGCAGCAATACAGCACCGCATAGCGGCAATAACAGCACCGATTTAGCGGCTATAACAACACCGACTTAGCGGCTATAACAGCATACGACTCAGCACAGCATAGCAAATCAGCATACAACAATAGCGGCTTACAGCTATATCAACTTACAGCACGGCTAAACAGCTTACAGCACAACATTATACATCAAATACAGCTTAAATCAGCATACAACACAGCATAACTTACAGCACAACATTATACATCAAATACAGCTTAAATCAGCATGCAACACAGCTCAGCTTACAGCACAACATTATACATCAAATACAGCTTAAATCAGCATACAACACAGCTCAGCTTATAGCACATCATTATACATCAACTACAGCTCAACATCATAATTCAACATTATCAACTAGTCAGCACAGCAATATTTAACATCTACAGCTCAGCTCAGCATATCTATCAGCAAATTTCTATACATAACAGCTTAACATCAAATATCACATCTGCGCCCGGCACACTCATGGTCACGCTCGGCGTGGCACAACTAGAGAGCACCAGGGCTCAGCGCGCCCGGCGCAATTCCCATTGCGCCCGGCGTGCTAGGAGGCAGAGACCTAGGAAGGTCTCACACGCCTGGCGTGCAAACCCTAGCTCGGCGCAGGGTAAGTAGAGACTTTCCCAAAGTCTCCCGCTCGACGCAATATAAATTGCGCCCGGCGCCACCTCTGACAGAGACTCCCAAGGAGTCTCCACACCCGGCGAGACAAGGTCACGCCCAGCGCCACACCAGAAATCCCCAAGCAATGTCACTTACTGATATCGCACCCAGCATGGTCCAACCACGCCTGGCGTGGGCCATCCAGAGGCTCACACCCTCAAGCTCGCCCGGCGCATACACCACTGCGCTCGACGGGCTTGCCCAATGGAGCCCTCTAGTGGTCACGCGCCCGGCGCGAATAATTGCACCCGACGTGATACCCAGCAGCAACCCTCAAACCTCGAAAATATCTTCCAAACCTGCACCAAATCAGCTTTCCAAACACATGTAATCGACCCAAAACATCACATTTTCATCAAACAACCAAAAAATCCCAGCTTTACCCACATGCAACCATAAACAATGAAAATCCCAAATTTCACCAAAAACCCGAAAACCCCGAAAAATGAGTTTTCATCCAAAACAGCTCAAAATCTTTGAAAATCTTAGCAATTCGTGAGTCCTAGCTCACTACAACACACAACCGGCAAGAAATCCTAGCTTCCCTTACTTGAAGATTGGATCAGGATAGCCAAGAAGCAGAATCCCCTTTCCGAAGCTCAACTCGGAACTTCAATCCTTCAAAAGTCAGCTTTCCAGTCCAGAGCCCTTCTCTCTAGAACTTCTCTCTAAAAAAAACTCTTCTCCTCAACTGCCCACAACCTCTATTTATAGATATTCCGGAGTGGCCAGAACAGCCTGTACCGAAATCGGAACGGCCCGTTCTGCACCCCTTTATCAAGTGCAAAAATCGCATGCAGAACGGCCTGTTCTAAAATCAGAACGGCCCGTTCTAGAACTCATCCAGAACGGGCCGTTCTCCATCCAGAACGACCCGTACTCCCCTCTAGAACGGCCCGTTCTCAACCACGATATACAGGTCATTTTCATAGCTTGGAACGGCCCGTTCCAGATTGGGAACGGCCCGTTCTAGGCTACTGAAACACCAACATGCTACGTCACAAATGTAACTTCTTAAATGATTTTTATAAGATTAAATCTGTGCCATTAGATATATTCAATAATTATTAGTGTTACTGGAGAGAGACTGGAGAGAGAATATTGTAGGAGAGGATCCAAGTTCAAGTTTTCTGCGAATTTTTTCGTAGTAATATTTTTTACGAAACAAATTAAAGAAATTACTACAAATTCTTCAACTTTCAAATGCTCACAATGAATTCATTCGAAGCATTTGTTTCCACGCCTCCAACATGTGATACATAACCTTTTAAATTCTAAGATTATAGATTATAAACCTAACACTCAACCATACAAATCAACTTGTAAGGTAAGTGTTGCCCCAACTTATATACTCTTTAATTGTTTTATTTTTAATTGATGTGGGACTTGAAGTTTTTTTTAAAATATTAAACTTATAAATTTAAATATTTTTTTTATTTTTCTTGCAGATTAAAATTGGCAAAAAATCCGCAGGAAAAGTTACCTACAAAATTTTTCTACCATTTAGTAAACATTACTTGCAAATTTATTTTTGCAAGAAAATCTGCAAGAAACAAAATACTAAAATTAGCTTTATGAAAACTTAAGATTTTGAACATAGAAGTTTCCATCCTCTAGTAATCGATTACATGCCCTGGTAATCGATTACCAGACTAGAGGTGCTCATCCTTGAAATGCAAGGCAAGCTTCAAAAACCTAGAGGTGTAGCTTAGAAATTCGGCCAAGGAAGAAGAACATGAGCTAGGCGGCCTTGGTTCCAAATTGCTCCATGATTTAATTTGAAAATTCTTGATTTGGTTTAGTTAGGTTCATCATATGATGATGAGACCTAGCTAAATCAAATCTATGAAAAATTAGGAGCAAAATGAGTCCAATATGCAAAATTTTGCCTAGGCCCAACTCAGGCCCAATTTCTAAACACACTCCCTAGCTTTGCTAAATGCCACCCCTTTTTCCCTACTGAAAAAATACAAAATGAATGTATCAACTAGGGAGGTTAAATGGAGTTAAACTCTCCAAGTAACCTACCTTAAAATCAATATACAAATACTAGAAAAAGCAAATAAAGTGCCTCAAAAATACAAAGGCAAAAATAACCTATACAAGAGACTATGTATAAACTGTACAATATACACAAGTAGAACTAGGCCTTCTCTTTATGATAGAGCATTCCAAGTAAAGAATACCTTGGGCTCGACAAGCCCACTAGTCTTCACAAGGTCCAACTCTTCCTGTATTCTTCTAGCCATAGCTCTGGTAACTCGGCCCTTGGCCCATGGTCTATCACGCCGCGCCGACAAGTATATGCAGATGGAGGAACTTGTGGAATTCTGCAATCAGGCCAGGGCGGAGGTAGCGGCCAAGGTCGAGAAGCCGGCCGAAATCTCTTACCGAAGCCACCCCAAGGACCTCGTTCCAAGAGACAAACCCATTCGCGAACCGAGGTACTCCCATTACACTCCATTAAACACTAGCCGATCGGCTGGCTTAGACCAAGGACTTGCTTCAGAGGTCCTGGCAGTGCCGAAGCGAGTCGCGACCCCTCCTCGTGCTGACACTAGCAAGTCCTGCAAATATCATCGCAACCGGGGTCACTCGACCGAACAATGTGCAGCTCTCAAAGACAAGATTGAGGACTTAATCAAGCAAGGACAGCTTCAACATTTTGTCAAACGACCTCGTTCTCCCCGATACGATGATCGTCGGCATCGTCGAGATCAGCCTGACTGAGACAGATCCGACAAGCGTCCCCACAGGGAAAGAAGCCGGTCGAGGGGCCGAAAGGAAGACGATCCGACAACCCAACCCCGAAGGGTCATTAATACTTTCGCCGGCGAATTCGTAGGCGGCAGCTCTACCTCCTCAGCACAGAAGAGACACCTGCGGGCTGTCCTAACTGTCCACGCGGTCGAACGCACCCGACAGAGATTACCGGCCATCACTTTCACCGAGGCCAACTTCAAGGGCATTGATCCTGACCAGGACGACCCCATGGTCATCAGCGTCGAGATCCACAACTGCATTGTTCGGAAGACGCTGGTCGATCAGGGAAGCTCGGCCGATATCTTCTATTGGAATACCTTCAAACAACTCGGCATCCCGGAGGCCAAGCTGATCCCCTACAGCGAGCCTTTGGTTGGATTCTCTGGTGAACTTGTCCAAACCAAAGGGTACATCAAGTTATCCACTCGCTTCTGCTTCGATGGAGCCGAAGCCCGAGACATCCCGGTCAAGTACGTGGTTGTGCACGCCAACACATCATATAACATCCTTCTTTGAAGGCCATCCCTCAACAAGTTAGGTGCGATCGTGTCAACTCCTCACTTAGCCATGAAATTCCCTTCCGAATCAGGCCGGATCATTACAGTCCATGCCGATCAGAAAGCAGCTAGGGAATGTTATTTCGCTAGTCTTCGGCTGCCTCGTCTTGAAACGGCTGAGCCGCGTGGAGTGAAACGTGTTCACACAGTAGCACAAAACCTTGAAACGATAGTGGACTTCGACCCTCGAATGGAGCAAGACGAGAGGGTTGAGCCGATTGAGGACCGACATCCAATTGTTATCGGACCAACCGACCTACATGTGACCTACCTGGGCTTTAACCTGTCCGAGGCTGAAAAGCGTGAAATCGGACAACTTGTTAGGAAAAATAAAGACCTATTCGCATGGCGGCCAGCCGATATGCCAGGGATCGACCCAAACTTCTTATGCCACAAGCTCTCGGTGTGCCGGGAGGCGAAGCCGGTTGCCCAACGAAAAAGAAAAATGGGGGAAAAAAGGAAAAAGGCAGTTGAAGCAGAGACATCCAAGCTCTTGGAAGCGGGTTTCATTCAAGAAATTCAGTACACAACCTGGTTGGCCAACGTTGTCATGGTCAAAAAGTCAAACGGCAAGTGGCGAATGTGCACCGATTACACAGACTTGAACAAGGCATGTCCCAAGGATGCCTATCCGTTGCCGAACATAGACCGATTGGTTGATGGAGCGGCCGACCATAAGTTCTTAACCTTTCTCGACGCGTACTCGGGTTATAATCAAATCCATATGCACCCTCGCGACGAGGACAAAACGGCGTTCGTCACGGAATCTGCCAACTAGTGTTACCAAGTGATGCCTTTCGGCCTGAAAAATGTCGGGGCCACATATCAATGGCTTATGGACAAGATTTTCGGCAGTCAGATTGGGAAGAATATGGAAGTTTATGTAGATGACATGGTGGTCAAATCAGCCGACACACTCTCTCATGTCGTCGACCTGGCCGAAGTTTTCCATGCACTTCGGAAACACCAGATGAGACTCAACCTGGATAAATGTGTGTTCGGCGTCTTGGGCGGCAAGTTCCTGGGCTTCATGCTATCAAGCCGAGGCATCGAAGCTAACCCAGATAAATGCCAAGCTATCATCGATATGAGAAGCCCATCAAACTTGAAAGAGGTCCAAAAGTTAGCCGGCCAACTGACAGCGTTGTCTCGCTTCCTACCATGCATGGCCGAAACCTCCAAGCCGATTCTCGGTCTTCTGAAAAAGGCAAATCGATTTCAATGGACAGATGAATGTGAAGCATCTTTTCAACTCTTTAAGGAACAGCTCGGCACCCCGCCTGTGCTGGCCAAGCCGACTTCCGGCCGAGAAGTGGTACTGTACTTGGCAGTTTCCGGTGAGGCTATAAGCGCCGGTATGATACAAGAACAAGACGGTCAACAGCAACATGTATACTTCATAAGCCGGGTGCTTCAAGATGCCGAGCGCCGATATCAACTCTTGGAAAAGGTAGCGTTGGGACTCATATATGCTGCTAGGCGCCTTCGGCAATACTTCCAGAGCCACACAGTGGTGGTCCGAACCGATTGCCCAATTGCAAAAGTGCTGTGAAAACCAGAATTGGTCAGCCGAATGATGGCATGGTCAATCGAACTATCCGAGTTTGACATCCATTTTGAACCCCGGGGGGCCATCAAGTCACAAAGCTTAGCCGACTTCATCAATGAACTATCACCACTCGGCCACTTTGAAGACAATACTTGGACAATGCGCGTAGATGGCTCCTCCAACGATCAAGGCAGTGGTGCTGGAATCATCTTGGAGAGCCCGTCTAGCATTACCTTGGAACAATCACTACGATTCGGCTTCCGAGCATCCAACAACCAAGCCGAGTACGAAGCTTTATTAGCTGGGATGAGATTGGCGGCCGAGATGGGGGTAAGGAAAATCACATGCTGGACCGATTCGAAAGTTGTCACCGAACAGGTGAACGACAACTTTCAAGTAAAGGACGCCAATCTGCTTAAATACTACCATCTCTTCCGGGGGATGAGCAACCAGTTCCAAGAGATACACATTAAGCACACGCGACGTGGGAATAACGAGAGAGCCGACTAGTTGGCTCGACTGGCAAGTAGTCGCAAGCCGGGACAGCTCCGATCGACAATACATGTGGAACTGCCCACTCCGAGTGTCACACAGGAATGCATGCCAGTAGGCGGAACTCTGCAATCTTGGATGACTGATATTTGGAATTTCATTGTTAATAACTCAGAACCGGCCGATCCGACCGAGTCTAGAAAGATCCGAACTCAAGCGACACGCTACTCCGTGGTAGCCGGAGAACTATACCGACGAGGGTTCTCCACGCCCTTGTTAAAGTGCATTGACTAGCAACAAGCCGAGTATGTCATCCGAGAGGTTCACGACGGCATCTGCGGGTCCCACTCTGGCAGAAGAACTCTTGCCGCCAAGATCCTTAGAGCCGATTACTATTGGCCGACGCTAAAGTCGGACTGTGCCGATTATGTGAAGAAATGTGTTCAATGTCAGAAACACGGGAACCTCATTCATGCCTCGGCCACCAAATTGCACAGCATCAGCTCCCCTTGGTCGTTCGCCTTATGGGGCATAGATATACTCGGTCCGTTCCCTCTTGCCAAAGGTCAATGCAAGTTTCTGATCGTAGCTGTGGATTACTTCACCAAGTGGATAGAGGCCGAGCCGCTCATCTCTATCACCGCTGCTAATGTTTAAAAGTTCGTGTGGAAAAACATCATTACCTGGTTTGGTATTCCTCATGCATTCATCTCCTACAACGGGCTCTAATTTATGGACAAAAAGTTCAACACCTTCCTTGAGAATATCAGAGTGCGGCATCGGTTCACGTCTGTCGAACACCCCCAGTCCAACGGCCAGGCCGAGGCAGCCAACAAAGTTATCCTCAATGAGTTGAAGAAACGGCTCGGCTCGGCCAAAGGAGCGTGGGCCGAAGAGCTCCCGGAAGTCCTCTAGGCGTACAGATGCACACCCCAGTCAAGCACAAACGAGACTTCGTTCTGATTAACATACGGAACGGATGCTATGATACCGGTCGAAGTAGGTGAACCCTCATTCTGACGGACGCACTTTCATGAAGATTCTAATGATGGGGCAATCCGAGCCGAGCTCGATATCTTGGATGAAACCCGAGATAAGGCACAGATCGTAGCCGAAGCGTGCAAACAGAGAATGACTCGGCGCTTTAACTCCAAGTTGACGCCAAGAAAATTTCAAGAGGGTGACCTTGTTTGGAGGGTAGCTGGTTCGGCCCGACATAACCCGACCGAAGGAAAGTTGGCGGCAAACTGGGACGGCCCGTTCCGAGTACGACATGCTCTCCACAACGACGCGTACAAACTGGAGGAACTATCCGGCAAAGTCATCCCACGAACATGGAACTCCACCCATTTGAATACTTATTACAGCTAGGATTCAATTCATGTACATACGTGTAAATGTTTTAGGATGCACTCTTTTCCTTGAACCGGTCTTTTGTCCTCTTAAAAAATTATGAAAAGAGGTTTTGGTCGGCAAGGTTTTTAACGAGGCATCCAATCATTAATGACAATATAATTCAGCTATCTATGACTCATTTATTTTTGCACAAATTCTCTAAGTCGTCCCTCCCGAGATTCCTCTCGGCCAAGGATGTGGCTTCAAGTCTTCCCTCCCGAGAATCCTCTCGGCCCAGGATGTGAATTTCAAACTACAAGTCTTCCCTCCCGAGAAACCCTCTCGGCCAAGGATGTGGCTTCAATTCTTCCCTTTCGAGATTTCTCTCGGCCAAGGATGTGACTTACAAATTACAAGTCTTCCCTCATGAGAAACCCTCTCAGCCAAGGATGTGGCTTCAAGTCTTCCCTCCCGAGATTCCTCTCGGCCAAGGATGTGACTTACAAATTACAAGTCTTCCCTCATGAGAAACCCTCTCAGCCAAGGATGTGGCTTCAAGTCTTCCCTCCCGAGAAACCCTCTCGGCCAAGGATGTGGCTTCAAGTCTTCCCTCCCGAGATTCCTCTTAGCCAAGGATGTGACTTTATTTCAAATTACAAGTCTTCCTCTCGGCCAAGGATGTGGCTTCAATTCTTTTACAAGTATTCTAAAGCACGACTATCAATAATTACATATCGAAGCAAAAGTTTATCGGCAAGATTAAAGTCGTTAGATGTTATATTCAAGCAAATGTATTGGACAAACAAAAGTAACTGGCATTAAAAGAGGGCTCTATCGGCCTGAAAATACAGCAAAATTCATCAAGAGGCTCTATCGGCCTCGGATTACAAAAATCAACAAAGAAAACAACCCTAAGCCTCGGCCTCGGGCTCCCCATGGGGCGGCACCTCCTACTCGGCCACTTCCTCATGCACCTGTTCTTCACCACTCGGTCCGGCCTGGTGGCGAACAGGAGCTTCGACATCAGGCTGTTCATTCGGGGGCCGTGCCTTCTGGGCATCCTGAGCAGCCTTATATTTTTGTTTCAGCTAGGGCCGGGCCGTTTCACGGGCCGGACCCCGGTTACCTCCGTGACCAGTCGGCACTGGCGTGGGAGCTCGGCCACGGATCAGGTTGCGAATGTCCAAGTTGTCGCTTCCACAACTCGTCATGATACCTGCACAAACACTAGTCAAAATCAATGACAACGCAGGAATTTAAACATAAGACAGATGCTATACCAATTAAAGCGTTTAGTGGATTTGATGACTTCGAAAGCCGAACAAGATCTCGGCACGATAACGGCCGAGGCAGTTTCTCCAACAATGACAAGTCAGCCCGCTCTGCAGAAGACATCTTGGACTTCGACACTACGTCGTACTTCCTCGGTGCCCGAGTCCAGTACAACGGAAATAACACCTTTCCCTCGTCATCAAAAACATACTTGTCGTCGTTACCGGACCGAATCATCACCTTAAAAAACCGTACTTTAAACCCTTTGTAGGAGGTAGTGAACGGCTGAAGCAAGCAATGCTCTACCCGCA